GCTGCAACGCGTGAAAAAAGACCGGCGGCTGTGATTATATATATATATATACACATGGACATAGACATCCCACATCCCCTCATTCCAAAAATGCCTCATCCCACATCCCACATCAAAGTTGTTGTAGAAGTATCACGCGCAGTATCCCACAAATGTCAGGCCTCCATCGCAGATGCCAAGACGGGTCAATCCTCAAACACCTGAGCAATGACATGCAACAGTCTTTGTAAGCTAGATATTACCTTAATATCTTAACCTTTGACTAGTGCAATCTATAGTTCATGAAGACTTGCACCTGCTATCCCCCAACCTCTAAGCCTTACTTTGTGACTCTTTGCAACAGTAACTCTGAGAAGCTGGCAGAGGATGTCAAAGATCTTCAAATTGAGCCCGCCCTACTACCCGCCCCAGCCCGCAAGAAACAACATCGGAAAAGCAATCAGAGATTGATTTGACATTCTGTATCTGACATCTTTGATACCATCTGACATCTTCGACATCCACACCTGGATGGAAAACAAATCAGGAAAACAGAGTAGAACAATCCTCATATATTTTGGCACTGTAAAGTAAACAATCTGATCAAACTCTAAGAGGTGAATTTTAGAGGTACAGTCTTATATCCCACATGATGTGTGGGTTTTTCATCTAAAAGTTCAATTAAAAAATATGGCAGGGTTGAACATTGCAAGTTCCTAGACTAAATTCCTTCCTTTCCAGTCTTGCAGGCACAGCTTATGTGGGCTCAAATGTAATGGACAAGTCTAAGTACTGGCTTGTGAACACTATTTGCCAAAGTCAAAAAAATATATATATATGTGTGTTGCACTACATTATGGACAAGTAAAGACAGCTGCTAGTTGGAGAGTCAACACACGTTGCTGATGGTGGTGAATCGGCTGATAGTTGCTGAATAAGACAGTTGAGAAACATATTTGTCCCACTCCAACTCTGAAGTTTCATGATGCTCCAAAAACACATCTCGAAATTCCACATTAACTATACTTCGAGTGATCCCAGCCCTGAAAGTTAAGGTGATTGGCAAGGATTGACACAATGTTTTGACACTTGTTCTGGCATCAAATCTGGTTTGTGCTCTGACACATCTATCTATCATTGTGTTCTGACATCTTTGGTGGGGCAATCTGTCCTATCTGATGTGCCTGTTTCTCAATTATGCCAGAAGATATGTACCACACATACAAAGACCCAAATGCTATGAAAGTTTTGAATACCTTGGTGATGGCTTTCATTTGGTTTGAAGACTCCACTTTGTGGAGCTTTTGGCCCTCTAGCCATGGATACCCCCAGGGGTGCGCCGAACTGCGCAAAGGGCGAGGTCCCAAAGAGTTCGCCCAAGGAGCTCTAGACCATGTGGCACATGTTGGGCTCAGTATCACTGCCTGAAAATATCCTGACTTCAATTTGTCCAGAAGATCTTGTTGCAAGGTTTCCTGGAGCAAATCCTGTGATGGATCTCAAGCAATGTCGTAAGCGTGCACGTCAATGCTGATGCGCCCCGATGAAGCCTCCGCCAGGTGCTGAAGCACCTCCGGAATGCGTGTATCCCTCTGGGAACCGGCGAACAAGTACAGCACCCTGAATTCAAGTTTCTCACCAGTATTTTCTGCCTGCGCCCCTAGTCAGGCGCTGGCTTTGGGATCCTGTGGATGCTCAAAGGTTGGGTGGCCCGGGTCGAGACAAATACGGCAAGCGTGGACTCTTCCGCAACCTCCCTTGCAGCCCTCCTGTGGGTTGCTCCATGCGAAGTCGACCCGTGAAGCGAACCGCTCTTGGGTTTTCCCTTTCCTTTCTTTCCTTTTGTTTTGCCTTTTCCTTTGCCCTTGTTGGCCACCGTGTCGTAGGGGTGCTGCCGCTCTGCGCCCTTTCCTCTTTGTCGCCAGGGATCATGAAGTGACTGAGCTGCACTTGAGACAGCAAGTGGCGTGCTGAAGTGTCGCTCCCTGATATCTGAATCCTTGGTCTTGAGCATCAGGGCTTTCGCAAGATCCATCCCCTTGCTCACGTGGTCCATCGCCTCCTTTCTCATCTGGTACTCTTAGCGCATTATCAACTTCAGCGATGGGCGATGCAAGCTGGTTCCCTCCACCGTCTGCGCCTCCATCATAGAGACATCCTTCCCGCACAGGTAGTTGAGGTACTCCAAGGAAGTGAATGGGTTGACATTCTTTAGCACGTCCTTGTTCGGGAATCTAAACCTAGCAAATACGAAGTGGTTGATCATCAACATGATCTTAGACCGAAATTCTTCCAAGTTGGTCGGATTGGCCGTCTCCACCTTCGCCTTCTTGATCTTCAACACCCCGCTCTTGGCTAGGCGGATGTTTCCCGTTTCAGCCTCATCATCTTCGTTCCTCGATCCAAAGTGGCGCAGGCTCATGGGCCTCAGCTCACCCGAGTCCAGCTGTTCGCACAGGTCCTCAAAGCTGGGTTTTCCCGGACACTCCGTGTCCTTACTTAAGTTTATAGAACCGCTTCTGGAACTCCGCCCTGTAGAGCTGCATCTCCAATGCTGGAACCGTTTTGGGTGCCCTTTGAGCTTCTGCTTATTCTGCGTCAAGCTCATCTCTCACGGCCACTCTCTTCTTGCAGGACTGCCATGCCAGGAAAAGAGTTGCGAACTTCACCGCGTCCGTAGGCCTTGAGCCTATGTCGATGCCCAAGCTCGCTTTCGCAAGGTTCTCCAAGGACTCTCGATCGATGGCCACTGCTGATAGCATCGCCAGGTTATTTCTGATGCCCAGGTCAAAGAGCTTGGCCTGCGCCTCTAAGGTCCAACAGTCCTTGCATGTCCGGTGGGAGCAATGCGACTTTCGAGTCGGTCACAAATCCATGGCTTCTCCGAGCGGGCCCTCCGAGCCATCTTGTTTATTAAGTCATGAGTCATTATGTTGTTTATTTTGGAGTCGGAACGTTTATCATCGTTTCTGCCGCAGGGGGCTGCCGTGTACATCAGGGGTCGCCAGTTTTCCATGGACAAACATCGCGTTTGATCAGTTGGTGTCGTTCTTTATGTTTCTATCCGTTTGGCTTATGTATAGTCAGCCCATTGTGGGTTTTCCGGCCACTCTCTTCGTGAAACCTTGTGATACGCTGCCCCAGGTGCAGCCGGCCATCTTCGGGTCCTTCTCGCTTTCTGTCACCCATTGATGGCTCCATCGCGGATGAGGAGGCGAAGCGGTTCCGATGCAGAACGTCTCGAACTCCTGGGTCCTTCTTGATGCTGGAGATTTTTGGACGATTGCCCTCAAATCAGGGAAAAGATCTCACTGACGACTAGTTACTGATGAGACTGAGAGCAACTAATCGTGTTCAACAGAACTACGACCCAATAGGGAGGAATCATGCACAATTCCTCGGGTGTTGCTGTTTGACTGTTTGACCGCTTTTCCAGCCATTTCATGCCAAAAAACGGGGGCTGGAGGCAAGTCCGGTGAAACAGCACCCGTTGAGGTGGCATTCCAATCATTGATCCGCGAGTGACACCTGCAGGGACATCCCCACCAAAGTTACATTATGCTGTGGGCTGAGGTGCCAACTCCGGTCCATAGAGCAAACAAAGCTCCTCAGAATGGCGGTATAGGTTTGATTGCGCAACTTTCTAATTCTGAACCGTCGTTGTCTCGGGATCTTCGGGAACAGATTCACGCAGTGATCGTCGCATGGAAATGGTGAGTCCACCTCTTGTGGCCAGGAAGCGGTCCATCCTTCAGTGCTTGCAGGGAGGGAGCAAAACTTGAGGCCTGGAGCAACGACCTGGAAGCTCTTTGAGCTGTAGCTGTTGGTGTATATTACGAATGGGCTCAGAACTCACCCAACAATGTGTGTTGTCCCTTCTCAGTGGTGATAGTTGATAGAAGCGAGTTGACATTGTTGAAGAACATTATCCTGCTTGTTTTGGGGCTACAGTGCAGCACGCAGCATGCTACATGAGTGTTGTGTCAACGAAGAGCGGGCCGGTGCCCGTTACTCCTCCTCAGGTGTGGCCTGGTGGTGGCGGACCTCAACAAGCGAGGAGTTGTCAGGGTTCCCAGTAGTGGGATAGACCCCTCCCTGTCAGAGACAGCGGGTGTGAATGAAGCCCATGCCACATAGAAACTACTTCCAGTGGAGGAGGAAAGACATGATGTGTATGACACATTGGTTCGTTGTGCATAGAGACGTTGGGCAGGTGATGACCTCTAGGGCTGAGCACGGGGGGGTCTGGACCGAGTCAGCCACTGAGACATTTTGAGTCAACACATCGGCACATGTAGCGAGGCAGAGTGCTTTGAGGAGTATGGGCTGAGGCGGCAATATTCTAGCGTGCGCTTGGCTGTGGCGAGAGCTCCTGGTAGTCAATTCTTCACGTTAACGATGCAATTGACTACCTATCATGGATGTCAACCTGTCATGGTATTGACCCACCGCCTCTATCATTTGTATAGCCAGTGCTCCAAATCATGTGAAAAGATTTAGTGTAACTCGCTCTTTCGTGGTGAGTCCTGCAGGGACTACTTCGATGAGTTTGGGCAACGAAGATTCTCGAACCTCTCGATGTCTGTGGCTGCTCGCAGGCGTGTGGTTGGAGATAGAGAGAGAGAGAGGGTAGGTGTTCGCGTGCGGCGGGACTGGTAGTTGCGAGGGCATGGGGTGTTGCTATGACGGATGAAGGTGGGTCCGGCAGATTCTCTAAAGAATGCGCCAGCCCCAGGTCCTGCTTGACCCTGCGGAGTTGGTTGATGCAACCTGAGGCATCCACAAGTGTCGAAAGCCTTTGGTTCCACGGCCCAGCACATCAAGACAACCAAGGAGGCACACCTTTTTTCAGCAATCGCCTATCGTGCCTCGTTTGCAGCGCAGTGTGTAGTCTTGCGGAGGCTATATCATAGTCCAAAAGTGCTTATATAAATGTTCAGGCTTCAAACGGGGATGACTCACCTGACTCAGGCAAAGCGAGTGCGATGATTGAGCAGGACAGGCAGGCGTAGCCTTGGCAGCATATGATGGTGGGCACATTGGTTCTGAAAGCGGGAAAGAGGGCACTGCTCAAGCTTTTTCCCTGGAACAAAGAGGTTTAGCAGACAAATGGTTAGAGGCGGTCAGGAGCAATCAGAGCTTGCGGAATCATCATGAGCCTGAGGCACAGAGAGAGGAAGGAGGTGCAGTTCAGGCCAGCCGAAGACGATGGCAGTAGAGAAAGGCCCAGGTGCCACAGTGGGTAGCCTACAGTGTAGGTAAACGTAGCTTATAAGTTATAAGTATTTATAAGTTATAAGTATCATAGCAGAAGCTCTGCTGGTGGGCCTCCCTGCTGAGCTTCTGAACATTCTGGGCTGAGCCTCTTCTGGAAGGTTGTGGAGCGCGTGGTGCCTGGTGGGATGGACAGTGATGGGGGAGGGTTTCCCAGCTGTTTTTGGGTCATGCATCCACCAGGGGCCTTGCCAGTGCGGAGAAGTACCGGACCTCAGAGGTGGCGCGGCGCCAGCTCCAGTTAATCCGACACGGATTCCCACCGCTGGAGGAGACGAAGCGGGTGGTTGCCGTGACAGATTGGATGGCCTCCGACCTAATAGCGATGGCCTCCAACCCAATAGCGATGGCCTCCAGCCTCCAACCTAATAGCAACATGACTGAACGATCAAATGGATGCCAGCTCTTAAACTTAGACGAGCTCTTAGACTAGGTGGGCTGGACACTTGGTTTTGCCCCGGGGTTCTGCGATTTTACACGCAAGGCACTGCAACGGCTGCTGCTCTTGTTCCTTGTTCTACATCTCCACAACTAAGTAATGTTACATACACCTTTGAACTTTTGTCGAGCAATGTCGAGCATCTAGAAGGGCTTTCTCTCCACAGTTCTGTGGCCATTTGCATCCATTCCACACTTCTGCCTCGGCCAGGAAAATGGCCTCTCATTTTTGCCGCAGGGAATGACTGAGGAGGCTGTGGGCGTTTGGAGCCACACATTGCCGAACCATTCTGGGAGATAGGATGATGATGGATGATGTGATATGGCTGTGAGTCAAAACAGGGGGACCTTGGTTGACCACCCCAAAATGACCAGCAGAGACTTCCAAGGATGTCAACCTTCCAGGGTTTTGCCTTTTGGTGCAGGATTTGTTCATCAACTGCAGGACGGGCCGGGATGGATCATGAAGGTGACCAAGATAATCTTGGTCTTGGTGGTGCTGGCCTGCGGCCCGCAGTGCTATTGAATGCCAGCTGGTGCGGGTGAGGAGCAACGATGGTTTTCTACCACCAAGATGGTTGTGCTGTGGCTGATTCCTCGCACAAATTCTCATTGTAGCCTCTCGCGGCCTACACAGCAAACCCGCCGATGCGAATGGAGAGTAATTACATTCAGCTCCTGCACTCGTCTTAGAGTTTAAGCTCTTGACGGACAAGATCGGACGAGCATGGTTGCTCCGTGTGGCGTTTCTCACTAGTGTTCACACTTCAAGCAACCAGCTGTCTACCCCCGGTGCCCTAGCTGCACAGCATCATGCCTGCTCCAGGTGATGCTGCCCTTGGAGCCGAGCTCCCGGCAGCAAGAGCGGGACAACCGGAAGCTTCTCAGCCGAACAATCAGGAGAAGACAAAGAGGGGGGGAACTGTTTGAAGTATGTGGGTATACAGTGTACATGAAGGAGGACCAGGGCAGAGGCCTTGGAGGCCGAAATCCAGCTTAGGCCCAAAGTAGATCGGCAGATGATTTGAACAGCCCTCAGCAAAAGGGCATAGCAGTCTTTCAAAATTTCTGAAGAATGAAACCAATCCAGCACCAATCGAACCCCCCAAAATAGATCAAAATAGTTGTGATTGTGGCACGGCACGCTATTTCCTCACTGCTGTTGCATCGAAAGCCGCATGTTTCCGGCTGAGCAGATGAGGCGCAGCGAGAGGCACAATGTGCAGCCTGACAGTCAAAGGGGTGCTGCGTTGAGGTCTTTCTTGCTGATGCCACTCATAACACGCGAGCTAGACATGAGGCACACACGGTTACCTTGACTTGGGCTGACCTGACCCACGCAACCCTTTGTTTATCGATATGCAAGGATGCTACTTTGCTATCAGTAATAGAGAAGATAGAGAAGGCCCTAAGCAACCTAACAGGATATCCCACTCTCAATATGGTTTTTGGATGGTTGTTTTGTGCAGCCGTGGAGTGGTGCAGGGCAAGCACTTGGAGCTGCGTGTTTCCCCCGGCCCAGGTACCTGGCCGAACGAAATCCTCAGAGCCTTGCCATGGAACTGCTCCACGTCGACAGCGGTGTAGGTTTGTCCGATGCTTTGTTCTTAGTAGGTTTTTAAATGTTCGGGTTCACACGACGTGCCTTGGAACAAGCCCACACAGCCCGAGGACCGTGTTTTTGGTTGCTTGGCCTGGACAACAGGGAGGAGGTTTGGTGCGCTGCCGGAGAACTGCATAGAACTGCTACGGGTCCAATTGGTATAGTTCGTAGTCATCATCATCCTGACAGATGCTAGATCGGGAAGTGCCCGGGCCCTAATATAAATGCACGCATTGTCACGCTGAGTGTTGAGCATGCAACATATTCTCCTCCAAAGAGAGCTGCCACAATATTGCCATACTTCAGGCAGACAAAAGTTCATGCTGTTAGCCGTCTTCTAAAAATAGAAGCGCGCTGAGGTCAGCGGCGGGTCGAATTAACAAGTCCAACTTTTGTGACAGGTGTGGGACAGTCAATGATCACACCGTTTTAAATCTATAGTGATAAAGGCTTTCCGGGGTCAGACATGACCGTCCACACCACACCATCCCTTGTCAGATTGCGTAGGACTCTAGGAGATAGGGCTGTGATGAGTTCCAACTTCAACCAGCGCAACTTTCGTTTGGCCAGTGTATGCCATACACAAAGCTGTTGCCTGCTGCTGCTGCTGCTGCTGGTGCTGCCGCCCAAACATGGTTCCATCTGACCATGTTTTTCCTAGTTTTGGTTCGCAAGAGCAATCCCCTGCCTACCTTCTCAAGAGGATGGACTCGAGCTATCACCGGAGAAGTCTCACTTACTGAACTGAGGTTAAGAGGCAAGGTTGGGTCTTCAACTACGATGATGTGCAGGGCATTCTGGAGAAGCTTGAGGGATGGATGGGCGCAGTGGCCCTCACACCTATTTGGGGCATCGACAGGCGGGGATGGCAGCGATGAGTAACCTTGTGGTGAACCCCGATGTCTTCCCCTCAAATCGATTATTCTTTTTTGAAAAGCAAGCGGTGGCTCGTCGCGCTGGAACGGATGCAGCGGCCGACTGAGCGGGGGAGTGCTTTTCTTTTTATATATATATATATATACATGTTTTTTTTTGGGCCTTCAGGTCGACCTTCTCCCAGCTCTTGGTGGACCTGAACCTGCGGGACAAGGAGAGTGGTGGAGTTGCTCCCTGGTGCAAGGCCTCCATGAACTCAGATCCGTGAGACCCAAACAAGGTGGAGCCGTTTCAGTTGAAAGGGTCTCATGGGTATGGTCCGTCTTTCAATGGCCCCCCCCCAGCCAGTGGCTCAAGGGCTCTGTTTTTCCTGGCGCATGATGGTATGTTCGGCTGACCATTGTGGGGTGTTGGGTATAGGCTCTCCCACGAACTGTGCCAGATCTCGCCAGAGCTCCATAGAGCCGTGCCCACTGACGAAAACGTGTGGACTTTTGGACGCGGCAGGATCGTTTGCCGTACATCTGGGCTCATCAAGTCTTCGATGCGTACGCCAAACCCACTCGCCTGGCCGCGGGCGACCCGGACTATGACGACACACCGGAGCGGGCGGGCTTTTGGATGGCATGGGCCAGGCAGTGGGAGGGACTACGTAGGAACATGCAGGAGTGGAAGAGTTCATAGAGTCATAGAGCGCACGATGCAAATAGTGGGATGTTTGAGCTTGAGGAGTTTGTGTAAAATTCAATGCGTTCAGTCGCGAATCACAACCATGTCCATGTGGAGAAGGGGAAAAAAGCTATTTGGGCCTGTCTGGATGAACAGCAACTTACGACTTACGATGTGCAAGCCATCACATGGTTGCAGGGCTTTGACCCATATTGATGCACCAGACCAGACTTGTCCTCTTTCAAGGCATCCCCATGTCAAGCTCAGCAGGGTTCTGCATTGCAATTCCTGCAGGAAGGCCGTGCGAGGTCTGCTTGGTGTGTGTCCAGATGGGACTTCATCGCTGTCCTGGATAGGCCTTGGTCGAAGAAATCGGTGATTTAAATGGGTGCAAAGCTGCCAGTCACCTGGTCGTGGGTTTGCCTTTTCGTTCTAAGTACGTGTCCAGTTTATGTAGAGCTGGGATGTTCGACTTAGGCGAAGCATACCTCAAAGATCCTCAAAGCATACCCTCTGAACATGCTACTACTCTAGTCTTCACGGAAGGCAGCCATTTAAGCATGGGCTGTCTCTTGGAGCCATCATGGCTCGTCAGGGGGTGTGTCGCCTTACAAAGGGTTGCTCCATCCTGCTTTCCTTGGCTGATGGACGACCAGATGGTTATCGATCAGCCGTCAGATTGGTGATACCGATCCGTGACACTGGATCGACGTACCCGCTTGTTTGCGATGTCACATCCCACTCTAACTTTCAGGCTCTTTAGGTAACTCTCAGGTCGGGTCGGCAGGTGTGATCGCTCGCTTTTGGCCGTGTTGCACGATGAAGCTTTATTTGAGACCTCTTGCTTTGCATGCTGTACTTAGGTAACTTAGGTTCTTTTTCATTAGGTTGGCGTGTAGCATGCGGCATTCATATCGTACGTGCTCTTTGTGTGTGTGTGTGTCGACTCCTGTCTCTAAGGACTTCGACCACACTAAGGATCCCTTCCCGTTTAAAGCACATCATTCACTCATGGTTGCCAGACTGTGTACAGCAGCAGGGGGCCAGGCAGGATACATCGTCGCTTGGTCAACGAAGCTGGCGATGTATCCGAGGATATGGAAATGGGACGCCATTTCCACGTACCTGCAAATTTTTTTGACCTCCTTTAAAGGGCTCTGATTCTGCTCTTGCGAGCCTTTATCTAAGTTTGTATCGCCACAGAGTCCCGCTGAGGGCTGTGGTGTGATCCCCAGCGAGGGGCGCGGCATGTGCACATACCCTTAAGGGTGATCCTCCCTGATTCCTCGGATTGCACGTGGACCCACATCTCATCTCAAAACCGAAAAACGAAGAAGTGCATGAAATCCAACGTGACATGGCTGGCATGTCCCCTTTCTTGCAGCCATGCAACTATGCTGCGCCGCTGGGCTCCTAGCTGTCTCGCAAATCCGCTGACTGGCATAGTTGGTAGTGGTTGACCCTGTGGTGGAGCTGATGAGGACATCGGAGGCCAGGCCGGGTGTGATGGAGGATCAATCGGAGGTGGTGTGGTATTGAACAGGCACTGACGGTAGTACTGCAGGTACTGGACCATAAGTCCTGCAGGGAGCTGCTGAAGTGTGCCACGGGTAGTGCACGGCGTCGGGCTCGATGGCGGAGCAAAGTGGAAGCAAGTGAGTGTGTGGAGCAATGAATGCTAATTAAAAATTGCTCGTTAAATTTTGACTCAGGCCTGTTGATTACTTAGCCGAAAACCAGTCCTATGAATATGTAGCCGCATGTCATGTCATTCTTTGGAAGAAGTTTCAGTGAGCCCTGCGGCAAATGATCAGCAATCTCTGAAGCCAAAGAAGTCCACATCCAACCCGAGACCAACCTCAAGGCCTACCGCCCGCATGGCCACACAGCCCACTTCTATGTATTATCCACCCACAGCTTGCCCACACCTTTCGACTCCGCCCTCCGCAAGTGATGAAGAAGATGACGACGACGCCGCTCAACCCCCGAAGCACACATTGTTGCGTCCCATTTTTTTCCACGCCCTCCCTCCACCAACCCTCAGAGCGCCGAATGACGGTTTATTTTTGGTGTGTGTGTGCCAACTCCTGTCTCTAAGGATTCCTACCTGTTAAAGCACATCATTCACTCTTTGTTGCCAGACTGTGTACAGCAGCAGGGGGCCAGGCAGGATACATTGTCGCCTGGTCAACGAAGCTGGCGATGCATCCGGGGATATGGAAGTGGGACGCCATTTCCACGTACCTGCAAAATTTTTAGCCTCCTTTAAAGGGCTAGTGCAACTGGGACTTCGTCCACTGTCCACTGATTCTGCTCTTGCGAGCCTTTATCTATGTGTGAAACCCTTGGAACCACAGGGAATCTCACGATTTCTCTTTTAACAGGGGAGCGGTGGGCTTCAAGTTTGCTGTGGTATGCAATCTGGACGCAGATTGCGCGTACCTGCGAGAAGATGATCACCATTCCTGTGCTGTATGTCTTTGTTCTCTTCGCTCTGGCGGCTGATGCTTCATAATGTGCAGTAGGAAATACGCAAAAACAAACTACAGCAGAACGTGGAACCAGAATGAGAGGCAGACATCTCAGCCATCCCCAAGTGTACCCCCACACTCGTTTTGAGGCCGAAATGATACAGGCAGTGCACTAACATAGAACACTGTCGTCCAATAATCCTTCCAAACAGGTCCATGTTAGTCGCACCTTGTGTCATGTTCCTGGGAAAATTTCCCACTGTTTGTCCACACTAACATGGCCCGCTCCCAGTTTTTTAACACAAATAGGACACCTCACACTAACATACCACCACAAAACATTTTCTTTTACTTTTTTTGATGATGTTAAATTTTGCCGGTGTATACCTGTCCCATTTCCTTAGGTCTTTTCTTAGGTTTGCGAGTGGCAAGCCGCAAACCGTGTCAGCACGCAATATCTCGAGTGTGTGAGTGTGTCCACGTTTGTGCATTTTTGTGCGCCAACGGGATCAGCTACACAGCGTTGGAGGACGATGAATCCACCAGTACTACTTTGAGTGATGCCTTCATATTTGATTCCGTTTGTTGTAAAGGCACGTAAAGTCTAGTTCTGACACGTGGCCCATCCGGATGTGCCAGGCTGCTGCGCACGCGCTTCGAATTGAGCCCTCGGGAGGAGTTTTTGAGCCGCCTGAAAGCGGCGCATGGCCAGTTGCGGCGGGCGACTTGGACGATCGGAATGGGTCGGGCTGTGGAAGAAGAAGTGAGGGAAGTAGAGAACAACATCCACAACAGTCGAAAGTGGAGCATGGCTGAGCAAGGCCCAAATTACCCAAATTGGAAAACAACTTTGTTGTGCAACATGTGCTACACAGACAAAATAGACTTTAAGTCGTCTATTCAAAAACAATATTTGAAGTCATGAAACATACCCATGCTGGGACCCTCAACAAGCTGAGGAATGGAGAACCCGTGAGGAGCGGCGAGTTGGGGAGTTGCCATGCCTTGCATCGGAGCATGTTTTTGGTGGGAAATTGAAGTTTCGTATATATAGCAATCTGCTATAATATGCAATAATTTGCTGTTGCCATTTTCCAGCGCGTCCCCACAAGTGGCCTCCAACAAGAGCCTGATCCGTTAAATTTTTACCAGGTGAGTCAGCAATTTGCGAAGTCCCCAGGACGAGAGCAGGACAGCTGCGCAAGCCGCTCAGCTGCGGCTGCAGTCCTGGAAGCAAAGCAACGCCTCCGACCTCGTCAACACCAATGGCTCTGACCGAGGTGAGACGGAGTAAATGCAACACCTTTTGCTCATGGGCCCATGGGCAAGAGGGTCAAACAAAAAGATTGTATGCATCTTACAAGTTTTTCCGTTTAAACATTGCGGATTGTGAGTTGCCGTTCTATTCCAACGGACCCATTCAAACTTGACCAGGAGTTCCGATTTTTTCTTGTTGGGAAGTGAGATACCGCCTAGCCGGTCCCAGACCCAGGGGCGGCAAGGGAGTGGGCTGGATCTGACTTTGTCCGCCAGCGAAGTGACCCAGCCCCAAATCCATGGTAGTCTGACACAGACTCCTGCCTCTCCTGAGTGTTGAATTGATGAAGGAAGAACATTGAGACTTCCAGGGTTTGCTGGGGGGAAGTGAATCATGCAAGTCCCACATTCTTGGGTGTTTTACTATTTGTGGAGTGTGGATTCTGGGTGCATGTGTGCCGCTTTCCAATCAAGAAGCTGGGACATTCATCAGTTGCTACGACGGGGTGATCCTTCAGGAAAGAACGGCAAGATGAAGGACCGCAATTTCTGGTTTTCCGTGCTTTGCGCTTTGCCAGTTTTCTACTGTAAATGCCAAAATTGGAAGGGTAGGGGCATTGGCGTCTTGTGATCACCGAACCAAGCCACCCTCGCTATGAAAACCATCCAGAAAATGGACGCTCAGACAAAGGAGAGAAAGATTGCATACCTTCCAATTTGCCAGGCTAATTATCTAAGATTGTTGAGCAGCAAAGAGCAGTCTCTCCTCCACAATCGGCTCCAAATCAACCTGCTGATCCGTCGCGCCCAATCACACTTGCGAGGAGGAGGAATGTATCAGAGAGAGCCAACGTTGGAAGTTTGACCGGCACGCGTGCTGCAGCTTGGCTTTCCCAGCAGATAGGATGACACCAAACATATGGGGTCGCAAAAGATGTGACTCCCGAAAGGCTCCCCCCCTCTTGCGGCTGGGCATGTTAACCTGTATTCACAAGAGCCTCCTGGAGCACTGGTGCAGAAAAGACACCGGATTTGTCTTAGATCTTGAAGGGCCGTTCATCGGATTGATCAGTGCCATCCGGATTTGACGATCCTGTGGTGGGCGATTCGATTCTAGCATATCTGAAACTTTGAGCTTCTTGCGTGGGGGGTAGTTAGAGGTGGTTGCGGGATGACAGACGAAGCCCACTGAAATGGGGGGAGGTCTTGTTTAGAAGGCGTATGAGTTTGCCAGGGTTTGTCTTGAATTCAGAACCATTCCCAAACGGCCCTGTTTAAGAAAAGGTTCTTTGTTGTGCACCTCCAGCCGCGTACAGCCAGCTTTCTTCGACTAACTAGTGCAGTGCATATACTGCCTCAGGCATGATGAAAGAGCCAGAGGCCTCGCAGGGTCCCAGCCTTGTCCAGGGCAACAGGAGGGAGTTGGGAGAAGCTTCAGATGTAGGAAAGACTGTCATGATGAAGAGACACATTGTAGGAATGTGTTGTGGAATGTTTTGACGACGTTTTGGCAGGTATTTGCGGGTCTAATCTTGGTCATGAGGTTGGAGATGAATCGCATTTGACAGTGACTGGCAAGAGTAGGTTGGGTCCCGATGGTAGGCAAGAGTGCACGGTACCAGGTTCACTAAGAAATCGAGTACCTTTGTATATATATATATATATAGAGTATAGGCAGGGCTTCTTTCTCCTCCCATCAGCGTGAGTGGCCGCCACAAGAGGGTGCAGCCTACGCCATTGTCCCGCCATCAAGGGGATGGGAGGACGGTAGGACGGTAGGCAGCAACGGTCCTGCACTCACAGACTCATGGAGTTGGTCTACAGGAACCTATCCTGAGTAATTATTTAATTCCGGATCATCCTGCTGGGACTGGCTTCATTTGGTTTCCACGAGTGACCGTTAGGCTGTTGGATCTCTTCAGGATGTGAGGAGTGACATTTTGATCAGCGACCCTGCCAGTGGAAGCATAGTTTCTCAAGGTGCCATGCTTGGGCCACCGACCTGAGAAGGAAGTTCCTAAGCTACTGTATATCTGTGAGCGTCGAAGGAACCCCATGCGTTTTAACGGTTTCTGGCTGAGTGGTTGGTGGGCATGAAGAGTTGTCCCTTCGTAGCCACATCCCTTCCCATGAGTCGCTGACAGGTCATGCAGATCGTGGAACAGTTTCGGCATGCCTTCACGGTGATCTTCGAGTCTTACGCCAGCGAGACCAAGGCGCAAAGTGTTGCGCTGTTTTCCGCTGACCTGGCACGGTGAGTTGGGTCCCATTTATATAGGTGCCTATTACTTGCGTTGACAGCCGATAGTTACACAATTGAGGTCTGTGACGCATACTTTTGGTGTTGCTCGGAGAGACTTTTAAAGGTTTAACCAGCATTGTCTCTGGCCCACAGGTTGGTGGTGGAACTACTATGAACTACGTATTTGTGAACAAGGGACTCACACGAATAGAACTGGAACCGGAGAGGTTGACTTAATTCGAGGGGAATAATGGGGAATATATATATTATAAAGACAGATATCTATATTATATCTATATACTTATAGGTGACCGGGGCCTGAACCTCCATGGATGTTCAGTTCATCGTGCTTGACCCCTTTTCCAAAAAACAGCACCAGGCGTGCAGCAGAAGGATCTTTTGTGAAGAGGGGCGGCAGATTGAGCACTTGGAACGATATGACCGAGCTTGGTCCCCCAAGGTTGACTGCCCGAGGGAGAGCCTTCTTCAAAACACCCTTCACAAAGAGGGAACCCCCTGCCCAACTCAAAAAAGCTTTTACTGTATATACTATACTCCACTCTGCACGTGGATTCAGCTTTCTTCCTCCGCTCTCAACCCTCAACATCTCTCCACTTTTGGCAGGAGAAGAAACCTCACATGAACGCCATGGACTTGGTCTCTTTCTGCTATGATTTCTGCCTGGTGCCCAACCTGGTGCCGCGCCATGAGGTGAAACGTGCCTACCAAGCGGCGATTCTGGTGGAGCGGCAGGAGGTCTCCTTGGCCTCCTCGTTGACCTCAGACCTGCCGGCTGGAAGCACAAATTGGATGGGCGCCCCAAACCTGAAGAGAAAGGAAGAAACAAGGAAAGAAAGAAGGACATGAGAAAGAGAAGACTTGGCAATGGCCTCCAACCTAGAAGCGATGGGATGGGCGCCCCAAAACCGTCGGACATCCCTGACACGACGGTTCTTTCACCGGTGCTTTCAGTCAAGACCTGGCTCTTGCGAGACTGATGATTCAAAGGTTTTGTCAGATCATTTTCCTATGTAATTGAGCCTGGTTTTGAGACCTGACTTCTTGTTGGGGGTTGACACCGCTACGACCGGAGCCACCCGAGGTCGACCCTCTCAGTGCCGCGGAACTCGAAAGGACAGGAGATCGGACGCTCCGCCTCAACGGGGCGCGCCAAGCCAAAAGCCACTTCGGCCTTGAAGGACCCGGGGATTTGGGATGAGATGATAAGATGAGCGGGGTGTTGTTCATTTTTCTTTCAACATTTAGCATCCAGACATCCATGATCATCCACTTCGAACCGCGGAACAGTTCGCACAGCTTCCACAGCTTTTGAAACATGGCGAGACCGCCATAACACGTTGGCTCAAGAAAACACACGCCCGCACACAGCGCTACTTCCATGGGTTATGAGCCCAAGCCATGACATCGACCACGATGAGAAGGAGACGTTCGACCTCGAAGGAACCAACAGCTGATGAACAGCTCGAGGCGATGTTGGAAGCTGCCAGAGCCAGAGAAGCTCAGCCGAAGAGGGCACAAAGCCTGGAACCGAGCAGGACTATGACCCCATCCTTGAAGAGGACTTCGTATGCAGCGGTGACGAAAACTCTGGGGGAAAGAAGGGCAGCGGAAGAACAACGAGCACTGCAGGCGCCTGAGGAGCCTCGTGAACTTGGACCTCGAGGACCTCCGCAGGTGTTCATGCCGATGGTTCCTCCATTGCCGGCGTTTCCACAGATGCCTATGGTGGGTGGACTACATCAGGCACTACCTGCACCACCAGGTCAAGGACAAGGTGGAGGGCAAGAGGGTGGCGGCGGCATGCCTTCTCTTCTGCGACCGCTGCAAGAACAAGCATGGGGAATGCTCGCGGGGCTAGAACAACCCTATCCAGGAATGTGGGGGAATGGAGGGTCTATGGAACAGATGCCAGTGGCACCTCAGGGACGTCGTGAAGAACTACCTGAAGGAGTTCCTCTTGCTGGGGGGCCCGGGGGAGTTGAGCCTCACTAGAAAGGTGGTGGAGGAGAACGAGTTCTCGAAGAGACAAAGGGTTCTGTGAAGAGTTCACCACTGAATCCCTGGTCCGCGGAAAAGCTGCGGGACCTTCGTGATCAAGCTCTTCCAGGTGATCCTCGGGGACAAGAACATCAGCTTCGTGGTGGTAGTGACCAATTTGAGCGTCTTCGTAAACGATGTTTGAAGGAGGCTGAAGCGAAGTTCCAAGAAGAAATTCACAAATTGGGACCACAGAGCTCGAACTCGTCGTTCCAATCGGCTGTCGAAGCTCCTGGAGGAAAAGTTCAAGGAGAAAAGATCCAACCAGGTGGGGAGGCTAAGTGGGAGGCTAATGGACATGTGAAGACCACTGCACCCATAGTCAATGGGTCCCAATGGCGTCGGCATGGGGTCTGTAGCATATCCCTGGCCCTATATCCTCCTGGACTAGCGTGTGTGGCATTTTTCCGAATGGATATTCCAATCCATCAAGTGCACCTGGCATGTGGATGCCAGCTGAGGAATCACTGGGCGATAATGCTCGGTCGGTGGAATTGCCGGTGCTGGGCCTAGAGGCTACAGCACTGACGTTTGGTGACTGGTTGACTACCTTGGAGCCCATTGTGTCGGAGATCAGCCAAGGAGCTAGTCATTGGTGGCAGCTGACCCTGAAGAGTGTGGAGCAGGCCTATGAAGCCTGGTTGGTTGCAGACTCCAACGGCTACGTCTTGGTCCAGCTGTCTCGGAGGAGGCGAACAAATGGCCTCGCGCAGAAAGGGGGATGCTTAGCCTGTTGCTGCAAGCGGTGCCAGACACCGTTCGCTCGGAGGTGCGGCTCGAAAGATGAATGTGGCTCAGGTGTTGTTCACCCTCTACATCAAATTTCAACCTGGAGGACAAAGTGAACGGATGAACCTCATCAAGAACTTGACGGAGCTCAAACTTAATTACCCACAACATGGGAGAAGTCGTTCAGGTCATTCGAACTTGGCGGCGTTGGTGGAGTCGCTCTGAAGCACTGAAGAGTTAGGGGTGCTCCTCCCGGTTCCTGTCGTCCTCGCAGGTGTGTTGGTGAAGGCTTCGGACCATTTGGCAAAGTCTAGAGCTCAGGTGGCGTATCGGTTGGCTACGAGCAGACAGCAGTTGCTGGTCGATACAAGGCCCACCTTGGACAACCTCAAGATCTTCGCAGAGTTCCTGCAGGCGGAGGCGGAAGAGCTGGCGATGGGAGCGGGAGCCGGAGTTGGTCAGGGAAAGGGGCCGTCGTTGAAGGCAGTGGCAGTCCAACCTACTTCGGGAACCTCTTCTACATCACTGACGAGGCCTTCGGTGTGGGAACTGGTGACAAAGACACCTGTCGTTTCTGGATGTCGGAGAAGGGGTGTCTGCGTGGCGTTCGTTGCAAGTACAAACACAGTAGATTGAGTCCCAAGGACAACCGGTGCTTCCATTGCTATGGCTTGAACCATAGCCGTACAGCCTGCCCGTTCTTAAAGAAGGAGGGGGGAAGAGGCGGTCAAGGTGGCGAAGGTCAAAGGGGGAAGCAACACAAGTAGCCCGGAAAAACCGGAGCGCGCTGCGGAGTCTTGGAGGAGGAGGCCAATGCTTCAACTTCACAGGGACATCGGCGACGGTTGAGGAAGTGCCTACTGGGTCAAAAACTACGCCTGGGGGAGGTGCTCCACAAGATGATGTTGTGAACACGGTGGGAGGTTTGGTGGGTGAGAAAATCACTCCATCGGGCAAAACTCATGGCCGCGCTATGTGATGGTGGAGAACCTGACATCAAGGTGGGACTACTGGATGGTGGGGCGACACATCCTCTCCGGACAGGACTTCCCAGTGAGTTGGCGAAAGCTGAATTGGTGCCAGTGGATCTAGCGCATGGTCGTGTGTCGCTCAAACAGGATCCGGTGACCGGCACTATTTTGGTGGAAGGAGGCATTGAGCCTATTGTTCCAGTCCGGGGCTTCATCCGAAGTGGCTTCATCCCAAGAGGGGAAAAGCTCTTCTTGGTTGCGAGATGGGTGTCCGGTGGTGGCTGAGCGGACATCTAGGAGAACTCGGATGAGGACATCATGAGGCGAGAACGCTTTCCCCAGGTGCCTTCCCGAGTGTTTCGATACATGTCGGAGAGCCAAGACTCTACTGCAGGTTCGTTGCCTTGGAATCGCAGCACGCGACGTCGACTACAACAGTCGAAGAAGATTCTGCTACACTAAGCGGGGGAGAAGGCAGAGGAATGGAAAAGATTAGAACAAGATGGATGGGAGGTGATCACCCTGGACATCACCAAGGGCAAGGACCAGGATGTTCACAATCCCCGTCTGTGGGGTTTTCTGGCGGGTTTGGCCAGAAAATGGGCCATCAAATGTGTGATCGATGGTCCTCCCTGCAGAACTGTGTCAAGAATGAGGTTCAAACGACCTGGTCCTAGACCTCTTCGTGATCGAGGGGAAGGAAGGTTTGGGTTGCCAAACCTCAGTGCTGGTGAACAGAGGTTGACCGACCACGACACGGCCTTGATCCTCAAGCAAGCTGGTATCTACTACCTGGCCGGAGAAGCGCGCATCAAGTATGATTTCGGGAGGGTGAATACGGGCTTTTCTTTTAGAATCTCCAGAGGACCCGGGGAAGAACAAACCGGGGAGTGTGATGCCTTCGTTTTTTAAAGAGTTGGGAAGAGATCCAGGTTTTGGCGGAGGAAGGAGGAAGAAGGTATGAAGGTGGTCAGCTTTGACCAAAAACCAATGGGGCACATCAGGAAAAAACCTACAACAATCCTCACCAACTTGCCCAACATGATGGAACTCCATGAGTTGAGAAGTCCACCAGGTCAAGACGAGCCTGTGGCAGAGAACCTGGCGGAGCGCATGGAACAGTCCAGGTCATGGGCACTGTGGGCGTCGGGGTTCAGAGCCGCGGTTTGGGCATCATTGAAGCTGTATGTGGATCAGTTGATGCATGAAGGTCCCAAGATTGCTAAGGCTTTGGCTACAAGGGAGAGAGAGTTGTGGGATCAACACTTTCGACAAGGGCATCGGCCTTTTCGGCGGAACTGGAACAAATGGGGTCGCAACGGCCTCATTGAAGGCGAAAAGAAGGAGAAACTATGACCTCCTCATGGTCTATGTCGGTGGACATTGTTGGACCTCTACCTCGGGCTAAGGATGTGACTACAAGCTACTACATGAAGTATGCCCTGATAGCAGTTGCATTGGTCCCGGATTTGGGGTGGGGGAAACCTACAAAAGAAGGGGATGTTGAGGAGGAACATGGAGACCAACCACAAGAAGAACCGGTTTGTCCACCTGTGGAGGAGGATGATGCAGAACCGGGGGAGTTGAACATCATGAAAGAAGAATCCCCTGAAGAAGAAAGATTTCATCAAGAACTACAAGATTCCCTGGAACCCATCGCATCCCGTGCAAAGGAGGAGGTGGTTGTGGCTATGCAGAAGGCATTGAACAACTTCATCTACGTCAACCGCTTGCACTCGGACCGCGCCAAGGAGTTGACTTCTCGGTCTATGGCCGCTTGGTGTGTGAAAAAAGGGATTGGTCCTACAACTACAGCAGGGGATGATCCAGCCTCAAATGGACATGCGGAGTCAGAGGTGCACCAAATCAAAAGAAGAGTTCGCCTGAAGCTAGCAGAACATGGTTGTGAGGTGGAGTCGTGGCCAGACGCGACCCGCTATGTGGCGGCAGAACAACGTCGTCAACGGTTGGAAAACTTGGGGGCGCCTTGCCTTCCTATGCTACCTTATCGGGGGAAGGTCTGGGTCAAGGTCAAGAAATGGCACAAAAATGGAGGACTCGTTGCACCATTTGTGGAGGCTCTCGTTCTATGTCCTAGCCACTTGGTCAATGGGGGTTGGGTGGTGCAACTGCAAGATGGTCGGGCTCTTCATGTGAGAGAAGCAGTACAAACCAATCAAGAAAATGAACAACTTCGTATTCAACAAGGGGTACAAGGGGACATGGTGCAACATGGTGCAACTACACTTGGAAGAAGAGGATCGTCCGGGTCAACCACATCGAAGACTGACTGGCAAACAGCCTTTAGCGAATACTCCACGCTTGGGGGACACTATGGCGGTGGTCACTGCTCCTGGTCCATCATCAGCGAAAGGGGAGTATTCTTCGTCGTCTTCACCGGGGAGGCTGAAAGATTCGACATCGAGATTCTGGGAAGATGC